CGCCGCCTTTCTGCCTAACAGGTCTATAGTAGCAATAACATCGAGTAAAGCACATTTTATTTAAAATCAGCGATAGGGCGTCAGTTAACTGGTACATATGCTGCTAATAGATGTCACTGATAAGTGATAATACCAGGTCAGGTCACAGGTCAGGTCACCAAGGGTCAGCACATTAACCCTATTTTACCAGGGCTGTGTGATGCATGTTTTATGGCCAATTTTGCATTTCCAACTCATTGGTGTTGGTTATATGACAATCAGGAAAGGTTTAGGTCACTTCCTGGTGGAGGTCAGGTCAATGTCAGGTCAAAAAAGGTCAAATTTCAAAGTTGATATTGTTACATAAAATGGGTATCGATTCGATGCAGCTCGTCACGACGATTCTAACAGTGGTCTTCGTTTTGCTCTACGTGGTCTAGAATTGCCAAAAATGGAGTTTGAAAATTTGACATCATCATTTTTCACCTTCCAGGCGGTAGGGGGGGGGGGCATTTTTTGCCCCCCCCTTTAGTTTTTCAATATATCTCAAGAACCGCAGCGCCGATCGTCACCAAACTTTCAGTACCCTCCCGGGAGCAGCTAGCGCACATGGTGACCAAATATTTTTTCCAAAGGCTATGATAGGTTGGCCGCTAATGACGTCAGAGTGACGTCATTTTTGCCATTTTCGACCCAAAAAAAGGTTTCGCGGGAAGCACTGTCAGGCCTACAGCTTTAGAGATACAGAAAAATGTTTCAGACATAAAAAATGTGAAATCAAGAGGGCTACAAAACTACTATTTCGGTTTTTCGAATTTTTTTTTTGGATTTTAACCCCCAAAAATCAAAAAATTGATTTTTTGAATATAATAGCCAAAAAATCCAAAAAGGTTTTTGAATTAAAAAAAGGGAATATATGTGATAGTCCCTACCTTCTATCTACATACCAAATTTGAGATCGATACCTCTTTTTTGGCCAAGTTATAGTGAAAAAAAAAAACTGTTCAAAATTGATGACGTCAAATTTTCAAACTCAATTTTTAGCAATTCTAGACCTCGTAGCGCAAAACAAAGACCACCTTAGACTCCCCGTGACGAGCTGCATCGAATCGACACCCATTTTATGCAAAAATATCAATTTTGAAATTTGAACTTTTTTGACCTGACCTTGACCTGACCTCCACCATAAAGTGACCTAAACCGTGCCTGATGGTCTTATAACCAACACCATTGAGTTGGAAATGAAAAACTGGCCATAAAACATGCGTCGCATAACCTTAGTAAAGTTGGGCTCATGTGGTGACCCTTGGTGACCTTTGGTGACCTGACCTGTGACCTGACCTAGTATGACCAGTGACCTCTTTTAGCAACATATGTACTAGACAACTGACGCCTTATCGCTGATTTTCGACAAAATGCGTTTTACTCGGTGTTATAGCGCTTTCTCTAGAAGCCCCGTGAACGGTGAAACATTTTATCTTTGACCTGACCTGTGACGTCATCGGTGACCCCGAGGTCAATGAAATTTGGTTTTCCTCGACAAATTTGACGGGGCTATCGAACGCCGTTTGAATTTTCCGGATCCGTCCTATAGTTTCGGAGATACGGGGGGGGGGCAAAAAAATGCCCCCCCCCCCACCGCGCGGAAGGTGGCTGGTAGGCCCACCGCCTGCCGGGTTAACCAGCGCCCGGCTGGGGGTCCTGGATTTCCACGCCCTGCTGGGGGGGGGGGGGGGTGTTTCAACACCCCCTTCTAACTCGGCTCCTAGGCCACGTAGCGATACGCAGAAGGCGGCGTTCGAAAGAGCGCCAAAAATAATGACGAAATCACTTCAGTCACTTTTTTGGTCAGGTCAAAGGTCAGGTCACCAGAGGTCATTGAAGGCAAAATTTCGCCGATTTTCAGGTCGAGTGTCGACAATTTCCAAGAAGCCAACGAATAACTCAGGAATCAATAGAGCTACAGTGCCGCGGGAAAGCGCATTCGATAGCCCTATTAACGCCCTTTCTGAGTAATTCTCTCAGATTTGACCTATCTTCAACGGCTTTGCCTGCAGGGAGGCAAAAACTGCCAAAATAGCCGATTTTTCGAAACCAGTTTTTCTGCAATAACTTTTGACCCAAGCATTGCACGAACTTATTTTTACCAGCATCGTGTTCCTCTCGTCAAGACGCATCGAATGAACTGTAACTTGACCTTGAAAGGTCAACTTGAAAATTTGACCTCAGGTCAAAGTCATGACCTGACCGGAAATGGTCATGTTGCACATCAGTCGATCCGTATCGTCGAGCTGAACACATCCAAGGCGTTTTCATCGCTCTAGCATGCCTCTATCAAAAGTTATTCGCGAAAAACTGTTAGATACCATCCGTGACCTGAGATGACCTCAGGGGCATGAACAGGGATCACGGATACCATTTCCATGTTCAGTATGTCTTAGTTACTTGTTATTCAGTGTTTGGGAGTGTTTATAATACCTTTCGTCCAAAAAAGCGCCTTTCAATTTTCTCCCATTGACTTATAATGGGGAGGTCGAAAAATTGACCTGACCTTAGGTCATTGATATCAAAATTCTGAGATGTACATGTTGTACATACTATTGCTCTTAGCAATCGCTGAAAGTTTCAAAGCGATCGGTCACTCGGTGTAGCTATGGCAGATATTGAAACTTTTTATGAGGTGGGGTCACTTCAAGTGACCTGGTGACCTGACCTTGAATGACCTTGGTCTGAAATTTTACAACGTCTGTAGAATTGATGCATGATAAGGTGTGCCAAGCCGCCGTTTTTTTAGATATTCGCGAAAAACCACAGGGGGGTGTTCAAACACCCCCCCCCCCCCCAGCAGGGCGCGGGTTAACAGTTTTTTTTCGCTATAACTTGGCCAAAAAGATATATCGATCTGAAATTTGGTATGTAGATAGAACATGGTTGGAACTATCATATATATTTCAGGTTTTTTTGAAGTTCGAAAAAAAACTTTTTGGATTTTTGGCTTATATTAAAAAGAATAGTTTTTTTATTTTTGGAGATCAAAACTAAAAACTTGAAAAATCCGAGATAACAGTTTTGTAGCCCTGTTCATTCTACAGCTTTTATGTCTTTATCATTTTTCTGTATCTTCAAAGCTATAGGCCTGACAGCTCTTTCCGCGAAACCTTTTTTTTTTTTGTCGAAAACGGCAGAACATGACGTCATTTCCGGCCAACCTATCATAGCCTTTGAAAAAAAAAAATTATACACAATGTGTAAAATTGATTCCCGGAAGGGTACTGAAAGTTTGGTGACGATCGGCCCAGCGGTTCTGGAGATATATTGAAAAGTCTGGAGGGGGGCAAAAAATAGCCCCCCCCCCACCAGGACGCATGTTAAGGTACTAGGTCATTGGACAGTGATTGACCTTCCAGGTCAGGTCACTGACCCAAAGGTTGGGAAATTCAGGACCTGTTAGAACGTCGTAAAGTATAGCTGCTATGGGTTTTTGTCGGGTTGCTGAACACGCATATCATGTACGTTTTGATCACAGATGATGTCTTCATGCATTTAGACCAGGTCGGGTCAGGTCAGGTCAGGTCAACAAGTAGGTGTCATCAGTCATGCCGAGTGTTCGTAGTAGGTGTCAAGTCAACCGTCTCTGGCAGCCTCGTAACATGTTACGAAGACACCAAAACTACTTCGTAAACGTTCAAAGGTTTGCTTAATTCGAATCCAGCTCCAAAAACTAGCCTAGAAACTTGCAAAACTCGAAAAGTGAGCCAAGGTCACCAAAGGTCAACGATCTGACCTGACCTTCAGGTGACCCTGTCCCTAACCCTCGCCGGCACAGGGGGAATGGATGCATCCCCCTCACGACTTTTCGCAAATAACTCGCGTAAAAAGCGGCCGATCGCGACTAAACTTTTAGTATCCCCGCGTTGATCAATTTTACACCTACCTAAAAATTTCATGACCCTGACCTAAATGACCTTTGACCTGTGACCTAATTTTCGAGACCATGTTTGGCCGGAATAGCGATTCGGTGTATGTCGGCTCGCATTAGCCGCGCGTTTGGAGTCTTTTCGTGGTTTCGAGCGTTCAAACATGTGAGTTGATGTTGCTCCCATGCATTAGGGCGGATGCCAAGGTCACCTGAAGGTCAGTGCAGATCACTGACCTTTGATGACCTCAGTCCGAAGGTCGGTTAGCTAGTTTTGATCACAGATGATGTCCTTATGCATTTAGGCAAGGTCGGGTCAGGTCAGGTCAGGTCAACCAGTAGGGGTCCTGCCGGGTATTCATAGTACGTGTCAACCGCCTCTGACAGCTTCGTAACATGTTACAAAGGCACCAAAACTACTTCGTAAATGTTCAAACGGTTGCCAAATTCGAATTAAGCTCCAAAATTAGCCTAGAAACATGTAACACTCGAAAAAGTGAACAGAGGCCATCAAAGGTCAATGACATGACCTCACCTTCCGGTGACCTTCGCACGCACCCTAATGCATGGGAGCAACAATAACATCATATCCCATGTTTGAACGTTTGAATCCACAAAAGACTGCTAATACAATCCGACATACGCCGAATCGCGATTCTGACCAAACATGGTCTCGAAAAGTAGGTCACAGGTCAAAGGTCTTTTGGGTTAGGGTCATGAAACATTTTGGGTAGGTGTAATATTGATCAACGCGAAGGTGCTTAATGTTTGGTCGCGATTGGCCCCTTTTTACGCGAGTTATTCGCAAAAAAACTTGGGGGGGGGGTGCATCGCCCCCCGTGCCAACTAGCTAACATGTAACATTTTAAAAGACAGTATGTCATTAGTTATATGCATTAGACAGACAACTCAGAAAAACACTCGAAAAAAGGTGTTTTGTGCTCAGCCAGCAAAGCCCAACCGACGCCCACAATAGGGTTGCTGAGGCTTCCCATCGTTGCACGACACATATAATGAAAAGGTAAAGGAAAAATTGTGCAAGAAAGCTGTCCATTTATATTGGCGTGTCTATATTCTCCTGCGTCCCAATTCTCCAGTCTCTCCCCTATGTGATCTTCTTAGGTACCTCACCTCTGACATTGATGCGTCTGAGCCCCTTCGGCAGATGTTTTTCCAATTGCGAGAGGTCGGTGGCGGCGACTGACAGCCGCTCCAAAGTCTCCCGTGAGCTCCGCAGCTCCGTCAGCTCGCTGAGACCGAATCCGTCCCGAAGGATGATAGTGCTTAGGCCCACCTTGACGATATCATTACCTGGAATCACGCCGAATATATAGTCTACTGGAATATTGGTCGGTACTCGGTAGTCACTGAAATGTGACAGAAACTCTGCAAAAAACGCCCATAAAATTAACTGGCATTCAGAAACATAGATGAGCATTGAGCGGTCAGTTAACACGCGCAGTGGTAGGGTTGCACTTGCGAGTACTACGCCCAGTGGAAGGGGCGGATGGCGCCCCCCCCCCCTAAGATCTCAACTCCCAGTGGAGCTAGGAAAACGAAATTTAGAGGGTAGGTTGGGGCCCTGCGGATCTCTGTTGTGTGTGAATTTTATGACCCCAGGTTAATATCTTCAAGGTCAAATGAGGTCAATTGTGGTCAAATCTGCCATATGAGCGATACAGGTACAGAAAAATGTTTAAAACATAAAAGGTGTAGAATTAAGAGTGCTATCTCAGATTTTTGAAATTTTTGGATTTTAACCCCCCAAAAAATAAAAAGGATATTTTTTAATATAATAGCCGAAAAATCCAATTTTTTTTGAATTTCGAAAAAAACGGAATATATGTGATAGTCCCTACCGCCTTCTATCTACATACCAAATTTGAGATCGAAACCTCTTTTTTTGGCCAAGTTATAGCGAAAAAACTGCTCTAAATTGATGACGTCAAATTTTCAAACTCAATTTTTAGCAATTCCAGACCTCGTAGCGCAAAACAAAGACCACTTTTAGACTCCCCGTGACGAGCTGCATCGAATCAGTACCCATTTTATGCAAAAATAACAACTTTGAAATTTGACTTTTTTGACCTGACCTTGACCTGAACTTCACCAGAAATTGACCTAAACCGTACCTGATGGTCTTATAACCAACACCATTCAGTGGGAAATGAAAAAATAGCCATAAAACATGCATAGCACAACCTTAGTAAAGTTGGGTTCATGTGATGACTGATGACCCTTGGTGACCTGACCTGTGACCTGACCTGGTATGACCTCTAATAGCAACATATGTACTAGACAACTGACGCCCTATCGCTGATTTTCGACAAAATGCGTTTTAGTCGGTGTTATAGCGCTTTCCCTAGAAGACCCGTGAACGGTGAAACATTTTGTCTTTGACCTGACCTGTGACGTCATCGGTGATCCCGAGGTCAATGACATTTGATATACGTCGACAAAAGAAACAGGGCTATCGAACGCCGTTTGAATTTTCCGGATTCGTCCAGTAGTTTCGGAGATACGGGGGGGGGCAAAAAAATGTCCCCCCCCCCCACCGCGCGGAAGGTGGCTGGTAGGCCACCACCAGTTTATACCGACGGGGGGGGGGGCGGATGACCGCCCCCTCCCCTGAGATCTCGAGAACGAAGCAAGATAGCGACAAGCGGTAAACGGCATCAGATACGCACGGTCAAGGTTTACAATTTTTACAAAGGTCATTTTCAGGTCAGGTCAAAGATGACGTCACAGGGGTCGAAAAAGTCAAAATGGCGGCGCTAGATATGGAGAGTTTTTCTCGAGTAACTTTCGAATTAGTCAAGATAATAACAAACTAAGGGCATCATCGTGATCCTCTCGTCAATCCACATCGAAATATATATATATATATATATATATATATATATATATATATATATATATATATATATATATATATATATATATATATATATATATATATATGTTGACCTCGAAAGGTCAAGGTCAAAGGTTGACCTCAGGTCACGTGACCTCGAGGTCATCATGTATATCTTTCGATGCGTCTTGACGAACTGAACACAATGAGACCATCCGCGCGGTTGTATCTTGTTCCTGTACGGAGTTATTGGCAAAAAAAAAAACTTTGGTGACCTTTGATGACGTCACATGACCTTACAGCTGCTCAACAGCAAAACAGATCTCAAGGTAGTGAAGGTTGATCGTATATGAAGTCATGTATGGTATATGGGGCCATTCCGACCCGTTTTAGTGGTAAAAACAGGGAGTTGATTTTTCCCCATTGACTTATAGGTAATGGGGAGGTCGCGAAATTGACCTGACCTTAGGTCACTGATATCAAAATTCCGAGATATACAAATTGTAGCTACTAAGTAATGACCTTATAACATCCTGCGACTTTCAAATGCCTTCGACAATCGACATCTACTGTAGCTCTGGCACGGTGACAAAGTTGCAAAAAAGTGACTTAAGGTTGGGTCATTCAAAGTGACCTGGTGACCTGACCTTAAAAGTTAGGAGGTTCAAACTTGCACACCATGTGTAAAAGTGATGAGGGAATAGTCCTACCAAATTTGCGCCGCTGTTTTCCCTCTATTTGCGAAAAACCTCAGGGGGGGGGGGGCGGATATCTGCCCCCCCGTCGGTGCGCGTGTTAACGTTAAAACACCTCTACGATGGGCAAGAAAAAACATTCCCTTGCTTCTTGCCTCGTTTACATAATCAGTCAAAAGCTCACCTAGATCATTCCAGAACACAGGGCGAAAAGTTATGCAGAAAACCCCGATATTCCTGAGGCTGTATTCAATACCATTTTTGATAGGGCAGCTCTTCCTTCATCTTTTGTGATCGGTCCCTCACATGCTAGCTTTTCTGCCTCAGACAGCCGTTCTGCGTTGTTATCAGGTACCAAATAACTATACTTATCGGGACCTAATGATTTTGACTCGTTAACCCTATTCCTGGCGGGGGGGGGCCTCAGGAGCCCCCCCCCCCTGAGGTTTTTTGGTTATTTCTCCCAAACGCGTTGAGCTAGGAAGCTCAAATTTTCTGACTTTTCCTAAAAGGCTTCTACGCAACATGTCTGAAAATTTTGAGTTGATCTGACCTCAGGTCAGGTCACCAGAGGCGGTTTGGTGACCCTACCTCAGAAAAGTTTGCAATCACGCCAGAGCTAGAGTTTTTGACCGATCAATTTCTTCTCTTCAGGGTTTAGTTAGGGTACCAGTATGTGCAATTTGTATATCTCGGAATTTTGATATCGGTGACCTAAGGTCAGGTCAATTTCGCGACCTCCCCATTATAAGTCAATGGGGGAAAAATCAACTCCCTGTTTTTACCACTAAAACGGGTCGGAATGGCCCCATATACCATACATGACTTCATATACGATCAACCTTCACTACCTTGAGGTCTGTTTTGCTGTTGGGCAGCTGTGAGGTCATGTGACGTCATCAAAGGTCACCAAAGGTTTTTGGCCAATAACTCCGTACAGGAACAAGATACAGACGCGTTGATGGTCTCATTGTGTTCAGCTCGTCAAGACGCATCGAATGATATACATGATGAACTCGAGGTCACGTGACCTGAGGTCAACCTTTGACCTTGACCTTTCGAGGTCAACATATATATCATTCGATGCGGATTGACGAGAGAATCACGATGATGCCCTTAGTATGTTCCTATCTTGACTAATTCGAAAGTTATTCGAGAAAAACTCTCTCCATATCTAGCGCCGCCATTTTGGCTTTTTCGACCCCTGTGACGTCATCTTTGACCTGACCTGAAAATGACCTTTGTAAAAATTGTAGATCTTGGCCGTGCGTATCCGATGCCGTTTACCGCTTGTCGCTATCTTGCTTCGTTCTCGAGATCTCAGGGGGGGGCCGAATCGGCCCCCCCCCCCCCCGCCAGTTTCTTGTCCCGGCGGAGCCCGCCAGGAATAGGGTTAAGATTTATCTAATAATCGGCACCGGGCACATGCTTTTAAAATTGTTTTATTGACCCTTACTGTGCTACCGTCTATCTCCTTAACCCTCGCCCGCACATGGGGGGGGGGGTTGCCACCCCCCCCAGGCAGTTTTTCTGCTCTGCACTCAACATTTTTAGAGCTAGAAGGCTGATTTTTCGTATAGCTGCTCGTCTATCCTTTCTTGATGTCCACTAAAAAATTTCAAGTTTCTGTAATTTTTAGTTTCGGAGATATGACCTTGTTTTTCAGGTCATGTCATGACCCAAATGGCCAATTCTCAACATCTTGCGTTTGTCATGGGCCTTGTGAGCTTTTGACACCCTGATTTCGGCCTTTTTTGCCAGTCTTACCTCCCACCTATCATGGAACATGTTGTTCGACGATGTACAGGGGTCAAGGTCAGGGTCAAGGTCAACCTAGGTCATCTATGATAATTGCGTTTTAGGCAAGCTGAATTTACTTTTTGTGAAGTTTTTTTGACTGCATTTTTGGTAAACTTTACCAGCTTGAAGCTTCTCAGATCATGATTTCATGTGATATGGACCCAAAAACAATCGGTGCACACATCAGTATACACACAGACACACACAGACATACAAACACATATAATTGACCTTGACCTAACTTGACCTGAAATGACCTCAGCAGCAAAATTCTGGTCGGATAGTGTGACAAAGAGGTTCTAGCTGGCTTGGCACCAGAAAACAGCATCGTCATCGGTATTTGATAAGCAGCGCACTTGATATCCAACGGTGACCCAAAACAGCAACATTTTTTAGTTTGACCTGACCTGGAAGGTCAATGACTGACCTGAGAAGGTAAAATTGGGTATCATTGGATTCGTCTTTTCCCAAAGAATCTTTTTGGTCTTTACTGCTAAGCTCTATCTCCAACAGGAACGAAATGGCGCGGGGGGTGGCACCCCCCCCCCATGTGCGTTCTAGGATGGGAAAATGGCATGTGCGGGCGAGGGTTAATCGCGGTGATATCCTTTTGAGCGGCTCGTTGTTCCACCATTCGAGTACTGTGCGTCAGTTTACTCCAAAATAGGGGATCGTGATTCCCGGGGGGGTCATCATTTTTCTCTGTGTATGGCTGTGGGCGGCTGTGGGGCCGGGGGCGGCTAGGCTGTGAAAAAAATTGCAGCCGTACAGTATATCTAAAAGGTATGTCCCCTGGTTTGGCTCTCCCACAGGAGGCGAATCGGTAACTTGGCTGAATCCCAGTTGCGGCACCCGGCCGCCAGGGTCGCTGCCGCGCGAGCGGCCTTGACCGCTCGCATGTCATTGGCAGTTCGGTCCCTCCCCATCTATACCGAGGTGGGGAGGGGAGAAGAGGGGAAGAG